TATGTTTCACACGCAGGGCCTAGCTATTCGCGGCGTTGACGCTGCTGCGTGGCAAGAGAACGTCGACATTGCTGCCTTCAAGATTCAGAAGGTGTGGTCTGCTGCTCGCAGGCGCTGGCGGGATACCAAAGCGTCTCCTAACCCGCAGTTGCAAGCTTGCAAAGAATTGTTCAAGTATTGGGACACAGCAGCTGAGTCCCAACCTGCAGTGGGCGGCCAAGTACATGACCTATGCACAAGTTTCTTGACTGGAGACTCGCAACCCGACGCAGATTCCTCAGACGCTGATTCTGTGTCATCGCATGGGACTCTGTCACAGGAGACTTTGCTCTTACCCGGAACAGGTGAATCCAGTGACTCGAGTAGTTTAGAACTGGACGAGCGGATGTTTGCTGGCTGGATGGCTGACGCTCAACCTCATGACTTTGATCAAGACTCTCAGCTGGAGGCGGGGGCGGGGTATGATTTTCATATGTGAATGTTGGTGGCTTGCCCATTGGTCCCTCTACACGCACACACTCTTGCTCTCACTCACTAACTAAGTAGGGCCCCCTGTGCCAAGACAGGTTGTTGGTGTGTTACCAGGGCCGAGCACATATCAGTATACTGTATCATTTGTATCTACTTGTTGCAGGTATCCATGGTGGTGCACGATGTGAGCAGCGGCCCTGATAGCGATTGTGGCAGTGATATTTGGGCCAAGGCCTCCAATCTCCATTTTCCATGTGGTTTGGAATAATTCAAAATGTTCTGAGGTTTTTCAAAACAATCTTGAAAGTGGACGTGTGCGTGTGTGTGTCTTCTGTCTGCATACAGCTAAAATTCTATGCGCCCTGAACCGCCCACAGGCCAACAGTGCCCTCTCCGGTCCTCATGAAGCTCCTGAAGGGTTTCATGAAGCTGTTGCCGCAATCCAAGATGCTCCACCTGAGCCAGTCGATGTTGGTTATCTTAAGAGGGAGACGCGAGAAGAAGGTTGGGTTGTTTTTTTGGGACCACTGTTTGGAGGTCTTTTCGTCTCCCTAGAAACCTGTTGTTGTCAGAAGACCAATGTCAACAAAATGGTTGAAACCATTGGAGCGATTGGAGGTGGTGAGAAGAAGAACAAGCGTCCATCAAAAGCATCAACCAAGACTGCAAAGCGTGCGAAGCTTCAGCCTGAACTTCCCGAGGAACAGGCGTTGAACCTTTTTGTATTGCGGTTGTAGCTAACTAAAGCTAGCTAAATCTAACTAACACTAGTTTGGCGCAAAGTATGTTTTTGTGTTGCAGGTACTTGAGTCTTTCCTTGAAGAATATCGACCTGCAATTGCTGATCTTCCGGAAGAGCTGAAGCCCATGTCTGTGACGCATGGAGCACATTCGTTCACGAAGCTTGTGCCAGGCATTGGCCGTGTTGAAGTGCTTCTGCGACAGAAAGCTTTCAAGCCCAAGAGTTCTCCGAGCAACAAGTCCATTGCCAATTCCAAGTCGACCCTAGTTCGAATTGTTTGGTGAAACCATGACTTTTTTCACGCATGGGCGTTTCAAGAGTTTCACGGGTTGGTTTGCAGTTGGTTCAGCCAAGGATTCCATGGACAGTACATGGAGTGCTTGGCGCATGGGAGCTGGCTCAGGGTGTCATGCGTGATGCGGACGGAGTCGTGGGGTGAGTGAACGCTTGACCACTGTCTTTGTTTCGCTAGTGGCTACACTAGTGATAGGTGAAGGATGGGGAAGGCCAGCAGGACAGCAGGGGGTAATGCGTAGACCTTGTTGGCCTTCAACCAGTAGCTGAAGCAGCAACGCTTTTGATCAGACGAGAAAAAAGTGTTTTCACGAGTGGTTCAACTTCCCGAGTGTACAGCCTTCACAGCTTAAGGTTTTCTAGTTCACACATTGCTCTATCTCAGCGCCGGCCTGAGGAATCTCTTTGCTTCACGCTGTTTTGCCATCATCCAGATCCTATCTCAGTTGCACTTGCCCTGGGTGCTAGAGCAACCATCCTCCTCGCTCATGGAGGAGCACCCAATGTTCCGCAGGCTTGCAAAATCGCATACCATCTACAAGGTTTCTTAGCTGCAAAGACTTGGTAACCTAGCACTAACATCAAGAGCTGGAAAGGTCTTAAAGGCCAGAAACCAGGTAGCAAGCAGCCCCTCAGCGTTGATCAAACCAACTGTTTTGCGTTTGCGTTTTGAGGCCTTTCTGTGGATGGGGAGCTACGGTGGGTTCTGTGACTTGTCTTGAAAGATGATTTTAGGCCGAGCCGCTTATGGATGTCAAGGATCATTCCAAAAGGTCAGGTGGAACTTCAAGTTCAGGTGGAACTTCAGATTCTGGTGCCTTACCTTGGCGCCAGCCAGCCATTCGACCCAAGGCCCAAAACCCACCGTATTGTACACGAACTTCAAATGTTTGGTGGATGGATTGTATTTGCCACTTCCGGACAACGTCGAGTGGGACCCAGAGATGAGTCACAAGCCCCTTGTGTGCACTTAGTGGTATTTCACCATACAACAACTTTCTTTCGCATCTCTTTCTGTGTGTGTTTTTGAAACGGTAGGGACATCTTGCTCCATATGTTTATATATACGTATATATATATATGTAAATATTGGTCCATACAGTCCATACATGTCCATCCTAGGTATACGGACAGCGCTGGCATTGCGCGTGTCCAAGGGGGAGCAAGCTTGAAGTCTTCCCAACACTATCCGGTCCTGTTTGGACAGGTGGTAGGGGAAAGATGGTTGAACAACAAGGCGGGGTGTGACGTGATCAAAAGGAAACAGATTCTAGGCCTGTGTTTTGGCAGGACTTCTTGACAAAGGAAGCTACAGCCCGAATGCTTCTCGACTGCTCTAATGCACAAACGACCCTGCAACTCCTTCCAAAAGAAAGGCTAAAGTCGATGTATTTTGATAGAAACGTATCTGGGGAGCCAATTGCTTCACCACCCAATTGATCTCGCTCACCCCATCTCCGGCCCAACAAGACTCTGCCCAAGGAAGTTCTTGATGGAGCTGAAGAGCCCACTGCCAACCCTGAAGGACTCGATCTTGCGGTTCTTGTCGTAGCAACCTTGTCGGTACGCAGTCCTATATTTTCTGACCGTGGGTTTCCGGCATAACCTTTAAAGTGTTGAGGGTGTATTGACTTCACTTCAGACACTAGGTCACCTGATCGGTTTATCGGATTCCCTTGATCACTTTCTCGGTTTATCGGTTTATCGGCTTCCCTTTTCGGTTCGCTTGATCACTTTATAGGATTTATCGGTTTCTCGCCCTCACTAGATCACTTTATCGGTTTATCGGCTTCACTTATCTGTTCGCTTGATCATTTTATCGGATTTTATCGGTTTATCGACCTCGCTAGATCACTTTATCGGTTTATCGGCTTCACTTATCGGTTCGCTTGATCACTTTATCGGATTTTATCGGTTTATCGACCTCGCTAGACCACTTTATCGGTTTATCGGCTTCACTTATCGGTTCACTTGATCACATTCTCGGTAGATCACTCTATCCGTTTATCGGTTTTCTCGGTTTCTTGACCACTTTCTGGGTTTATCGGTTTCACTTGATCACTTCTCGGTTGCTCGGTATAGATAGAAACCATAATCATAATATATATAGATATATATAGATATCACCCTGCTCGAGGACCATGGCTGGGATCAGCATGCACGCATCCGTGATGCGGTTGTTCAATTAGCTCATAAATGAGCTGATGCTAAATTAGCTGTGTGGCCCCAAATTTGCCACACGCTTACGCTGCTTTGAAGCAACTTCGGGAGATGGCTCGATGGATAGGCTGCGCCCAACTATGATTTTGTCTGTTTTGGGTGGCCCCAAGCTAAAGATTGTGGAAATTGGATGGTTCCCAAAAGCGATCAAAAACCCGATCAAAAGCCGATAAAAAGCGATAAAAATTATTGGTTTTTGGGGGTGCAGACTTTTGTATGTTTTTGGAGGGATCCGGCCTAGCTCGAGCGAGTCCTGGTCACAATTTGGAAGAGTTCATCGGGGTTGAAATGGAAAAGAGAGTGATTTGTCATCAATTTCTGGTGTTCATCTATGTTCTGCAGTACATTATGCACTTCGCTGGAGGGTATAAAATGTGTTTGGCATATAGACGCAGCATTTTGCTATAGCGCTTTGGTCTAGACTGGTCTAGAATGGCTAAAACAAAAAGCCAACCAGCAGAGGCACCGCCAGTTCGTGTCCATGGAAAGAGTACTCTAAAGGATGGGAAGTTGACCAAAAAGAACTCCAGGGGTAAAAGCCCTGACCCGAAAGCTTTGAAGGCACTGAGCACACCGCCTCCACGGACAACAAAAGCAGCTGAAACTTCAGGTGAGAAAGTTGATGCTGTGAGAAGGAAGATTTCCTTTTCCGGCAGTCCGAGCGAGGTTCCTATCGTCGCTGAGCACCCTGCAGGGCCCAACAAGGCTGGCAAAGGAAAGAAAAAGGCAGTTCCTATGAGCAAAGAAGAAGCAGATGGGATCTACAAATCTATGCAGGCGGCGTGCCCTGTGTAAACTTTGTAAACCCATTTTGTGTCCAAACAGCCCGGAAAACCAAATGTCCATTGTGGTCTCTTTCGCGCTCTCTTCAGGCCGGCAAAGACAACAGCAGCGATGATGAGGAAGAGATGCCTACACCCAGCGATGGCCCAATTATGAAGAAGAACAAGGTCTCAGGCGAGACAAAGGTGAAAGGAATCCTGAAGGCAGACAAGAAGGAAGAGGAAAACAGGAAAGCAGTTGAGGCAGGGTTGCCTGTGCGACCTGGCTTCCCCAAAAGTGACATTCGGAGGTGGACTACTCATGGGCCCAAGTTTCCAACCCCTGCAAACCTACCACGTAAGGAAGACCTGCTCAGATTACATTTTTGCCAACGTCGGCAAACTGTTCTGCCTTGGAAACTTTCACCCACCCGGAAGGCTAGCAAAAGGAGAAGCCCAGCAGAGGATGAGGCTGAAGTGCAACATGGGAAGTCAAAGAAACAAAGAAAGAGGTCAAGACGGAGGCCACTATGCCAGCCGCTGAGAAGAAGAGGAAAGCGGAGGAGAAGGCCAAGGAGCATGCCAAGAAAAGGGAAGATGAAGAAGAGGAAGAAGTGAAGAAGAAAAAGAAAGCAGCTGACAATAAGAAAGAAGAACGTGAGGAGAAGAAGAAGCAAGCCGCTCACAAGAAAAAAGATGAGGAAGAGCAGGAGAAGAAGAAGGAAGCAGCTGACAAGAAGAAAAAAGATGAGGAAGAGCTGCAGAAAAAGAAAAAGGAAGCAGCTGACAAGAAGAAGGCAGCAAAGGAGAAGGAACTGAAGAAGCAGAATGCAGAGGAGAAGGCGATGAAGAAGAAACAAGAGGAGCAGGAATTGAAGCGGAAGCAAAAGGAAGCAGCTGAGGAGAAGAAGAAGAAGGAAGAAGTGGAGGCATTAAAGAAAAGGAAGGCAGCTGAAGCTGAGAAAAAGAAAGAAGAAGAAGAAGCACAGAAGAAAAAAAAGGAAGAGAAGGAATTGAAGACGAAGAGAAAGGAAGCAGCTGAGAAGAAGAAGAAGAAGGATGAAGAGCAGAAGGCAAAGGAGGAAGCCATGAAGAAGAAGGAGGAGGAGGAAGAGGAAAGCTCAGACGAGTCAAACACGGACACCGATGAAGGGTCGGAAGAGGAAGAGGAAGATAAAGGTTCAGCTGAAGAGAATGCCTCAAGCCCAAGCTGCAGTGAGGAGGAAGAAGAAGAAGAGGTAGAGGAAGCGGAAGAGGCAAGTGATGAGGAAAGTGGAAAGGGAGAAGAAGAAGAAGAGGAGGATGAACCGAGTGGATCCAGCGATGGTGAAGCAACAGAAGATGAAGCGGATGAAGAAGATGGCGAAGAAATGGAAACTGCGGAGGAGGGAAGTGAGGAGGAGGAAGAGGAAGAAGAAGATGCAGCGGAGGATGAGGGCTCTGAAGAAGATGTCGAAGAAGAGGATGAAGCAGCCGGGGCAGACAAAGCTGAAGGCAAGAAAGGCAAGAAGAAAAAGGAGAAAGAGGCAGGGACCAGTTTAGCCGAGACTGAGGAAGAGAAGCTCAATTCAGTGACAGCAAACGCAGACTGGCAGTCATTTGGCCGGTGGTTGAGAAACAAAAAGTCTTGCCCTGCCAGCATAGTGGCAGCATGCAAGAACCCAGAAAGCCGTCAGCGGATTTTCGAAGACTACTGCAAAACTGGTCGTAACAAAAAGGATGTGACGTTCCGACACGAAAGACGGTTAGAAGAGTCTCAGAGAACAAAGCTGAAGTACGGCTTTCGCAACTCCACTTGGATCATCAAGCAGCACGGCCAAGAGCGTGCGGAGAAGAAAATGGAACGGAAGAAGCAACTCTCGTTGACCCTTGCGCGCAACCAGTCATGTATATGTTTATCTTGCGGGGCTTTGAGGTTCAACATCTTGTTTTTGGGGGATGGTTCGGGTGCCTATTGATGGGCTTAGGACTGTGCAGAACCCGGAGTTGCCGGACGATCCTACAGAGTTGCTGTTCTTCGTGCTTGTAGAGCTTAACGTGGAAAACATTGCAGAACTCAAGCGGATCACCTCACTCGAGATGGAGGGCACCCCTGATTCAGACCAACTCAAACAGTTTGTTGAGGCCAGCTTCTTTCCTATAATTATCTCTTTCCTGCCCCACCAATCACTGCGAAGAAACCACCAATCTTTCCTGCCCCATGCTCTGCAGGCGGGCGGCGTTTTGAATGGCGACCAGCATCTTCAAGTTGGGAACCTCGTCAGCGCCGAAGGGAAGCAGAAGCTGACGGCAGCTATGGCCAGTGTGAACCCTGGTAAGAAACCAAGGCCCAGAAAAGGTGGTGAGACCAAGGGGGATGAAAAGGATCCCAAGGAAGTTGTCCCCAAAACTCCTTTGGAAAGGGCTGCCACCTTGCAAAACCAAGTGTTGAGCAAGGCGAACCAATGCCGAGACCAAGCTTTCAAGCTTCGCCCGCTGAAAGTATCAGGTGAGTTGATCGACCAGCTAAGAGCTATGGATTCCAAGCTTCAGGACCTTGCTGGGAGCCTCCAGGAGTTGATCCGGAAGAAGAAGAACAAGAATAAATACTACGTTGAATTGGTCAAGGAGGTCTCTTGGTCAACCAAAGCCCTCAAACCAAACATGGCGCCCTCCCAAACAAAGAGGTTCTGGACAAAACAATTCACTCTATAGATTCAAATCTCAGCAGGTAAAAGGTCCATGACTTTCTTCCCAAATCCCCAAACGTGCGTCGCCAGTGACACTATAAGGTTGAAGAAGCGAGCGCGCTGGCATCGGAGAGGGTCGAACTGGCCCGAGCGCTTTTGAGGGCAAGTGAGAAATCATCCAAGCCCAAGGCTAAGTCCGCCCCCAAGGGAAAGGCAAAAGCTGCTGGGAAAAAGACAGAGTGAAAACACTTTGTCACTGGGATCTTTCATCCTTTGGTGACTGCTTAGGGGAGGGGTATCCCATGCGGTCGTTCCAGAGGCTTGAACAGCCATTTAGATCAAGGATTGGAGGCGACAGCCTGAGAGCTTGGCTACTTCGAAAGTCAAAAAAGCGACCCATTTGTTTGTTCGCTGATGGCGCGGCTCTGGATCTCTTCAGGGTTCGTAGCTCAAGTATGGGATCAAACATGCAAAACAATACATATATTATATATATATATGTATCAACTATTGCATATATATATATATACTGATTAGGTCTCGTCTCGACGCACGCAAACAAAACGTCGCCAAACAAAGGATGACTTCATGGTGTGACATCGAATCAAACAATCGAAGACTACTCCACGTGACCCACGCAGGGACAGATCCCGATCACCGCTGCCTCGCTCTTCTGACCAGAGAGGTGGCCATGGGCCGCACGAGTCCCTCTCTGGAAAAAGGATTCTCAAAAAGATTTGCACTGGAGTCTTCTTGATTTGAGTCAGCAAGCGTTCAATCTTCTTTACAAGTTTTGCTGTCTTTGCAAAGAAGTGTTTCCCAGACTGTTGAGCTCTTATTGCATTCGCACAAAACAACCAGGTGCAAAAACCTCCAAGAATAGAAAGCAAACATTGTGAATAGAAAGCAAACATTGTGCTTCAATCAAGGCAACCTCAGTGGCTGATGCTTGTCGATCAGCTGCAGATCTCTTAACTGATGGAGTTTCTTGCAAGCTGACCCATACTTTAGCTGAATGGGCAAATTCTGGTCATGAGGAGCGCTCTTTCTCAAGGTGTCTGGGGGTTACACTTTGCTTGAGCGTGTTACTCTATATATAAAGACAACGTTTCGCGAGTCTCAATTTAATAGTGTTCAATTAATACCGGAATTCTAGTATTTAGTGTTGCTTTGAAGGCTTTTCTTGAAGCTGGCAGGTGGTGCAAAAAAAACTGCGCAGTGCATCCTGCATCTGTGAAGTTACCTGGATGGGTGGAGGCCGAAGTTGACGGAGAGCCAATGCTGGTACATGGAGACGTTGAGGCAAGTGTTCTTTGGCCATGGGACATGCTTCATTGGCTTTTTACAGCAGGTAAGTTCAACCAGTGGGTCAGTGATGATCCGGGATTGGCGCCTGACAAAGTTGCCCAATATTGGCGGCGCTGTCGCCATCTTGAGTTTTTTCAGGAGCTGCAACTTGATGAGCGTGATTTCGATCGCACTGTTCCAATCTTTTGGCACACCGATGGGGTCCGCGTATACCGTGCTCAGAAAGCATGGATATACAGTTACTCGTCGGCTTGCAGAAAGGGTGAATCGATTCAAACGAAACTTGTGTACACCCTCATCCATGAGACTTCCATCAGAAAATTCTGCACACATGACTGCGTGGCAAAACACATTGGCTACATCACGGACGTTCTGGCCACAGGGCGTTTTCCTTTGGCCGATGAGAACGGACATCCCTTTGCAGAAGGGACACCTCAGTGCTTGAAAGCAGGGACACCGATAGCAGGACGTTGGTTGTTCCGCTTTGCTGGCTTCAAGGGAGACTGGGAGGCAAGGGCCATTTGCCACAAGTTTGAAAGAAACTATGCCTCCAAGAACATCTGCGAGTTGTGTCCAGCGAGCCGGAGTGGAGAGAACAGTTTTGGAAATTTCCACCCTGATGCGCCCTATCGGAGTGTCTCTTGGACCCATGAAGAGTATATTGGTATGTGCTCTAGACACCGTGTGTCTGCATGGACCCATGTTAGAGGATGGCGGCGTGAGAGGAACCTCGAAGATCCTCGGCTCATTGAGAATGGACTGTTGCCTTCTTATTTTATATTGTTTTTGTCGCCCTCCAAACAATAATAACAGTATTTTGTTTATGACTGCTGGCAGTCTTGCTATGACTTGCCAGGACTTGCTTCACATCCTGCATCAGGGGATTGCATGCGTGGTGATACCGTCGCTGATTACAGATCACATTGAGTCGCAAAATCCAGGCTGCACGCTTCGAGACATGGACCGTATTCTTTTGGGAGACATTTGGAACCATTATCGGAGTTGGTGCCGGCTTCACAGGAAGAGCGGTTGCTCTTTCAGGTTTAGCCTTGTCAAGTTTGGACGGGAACAATGGAATGTGTTTCCTGAACTTGGAAGTGTGTACAAGGCTGCATGCGTCCGGGACATGATCCACTGGGCGTCAGCCTTCTTGTGGAACGCTCTCCATGACTGCCCTGGTTCTGAGCTTCGTTGCTATACCATGCACTCGATGGCAATGTTCCAGACAAATATTGACGAGGCTCCTGAGTTCTTCGATCATGCTAAAGCTGTTGAAACTGCCAATTATGCACGGATATTTTTATTGTTCTATCAACGCCTGGCGAGTCTTCACAGACAGCGCTTTGGAGAAGAGCGGCGGAACTTCAAAATTACACCAAAGTTCCACAACCTAGTTCACCTTGCGGACTACATTGAGCATAGTTGCCGCAACCCGCGGTTCCTTCACCAATTTTTGCGCGAAAGGTTTCTTACTGAGTTGGCCCCCCAAGTCATGTCTTTAGAGGGAAACTATTGAATGTTAACAGTGGCTTGTCGTGAGCCTGCCTTTTGTTTCCTATCAACGTGTGAGGTTTGAACATTGTTATGGCGACGAGGACCTAATGGGTCATTTGAGAAAGATCGCTTCTGCCACCCACGTGAGAACTATGAGTGCCGTGACACTAGGCAGATATCGCGCATTGCTGCTTCTCACAGATGCTTTGGATTGATCTGACATCTGACGTTTGAGCACCGAGCCAAGAAATGAGCGAGTGGACGCTCCCCGCATCATCTTTGGTTTTGGCCGGTCTTGGATTGTCTGGCGCCCCTCTACAATCTTCAGGGGCTTTGCATTCGATGTTTTGTTTTGAAGTTTTTGGGGGGGTGACTTTACAAAGTATTCCTACAATCCAAGCAAGGCTGGCAAAAACCAAAGCACATGTTGGAGCCAAGAACCGCCCGGCCGTACCGATGCAGTTCGACGTTCGTGGTCTGCCTAGTTTCTAGATAGGGTCCAATGATACAAGAAAGGGGTGCCACAAATCAATGAGTTTTAAACAACTCCTTGGAACACCAGTTTTTTCATGGTAGTGTATGTGTACACGTGCCAAAAAGTACATGGTGTTAAAACTGGTATTTGTGTATACCTGTGGACACGTGACCCAAACATGGCTCAAGGAACTTGTGTGCTGGAACTTGTGCGCTGTGCCTATATAGTTAGTGGTTCAACGCGCGCCTGGCGCGCAGGCCTGTGCTTACTTGAAGCTTGCTGCGGGGATTGGGTGGGTCAAAGCGCGCCTGGCGCGCAGGCCTGTGCTTACTTAAGTCTTTTTGAAAGGGGTCAACGCGCGCCTGGCCTGCAGGTCTGTGCTTCTGGCGTGTTGTTGGAAGGGTTGTGGGTGGGTCAAGGCGCGCCTGGCGCGCAGGTCTGTGCTTCTGGAGTGTTGTTGGAAGGATTGTGGGTGGGTCAACACGCGCCTGGCGCGCAGGTCTGTGCTTCTGGAGCGTTGTTGGGATGGTTGTGGGTGGGTCAACGCGCGCCTGGCGCGCAGGTCTGTGCTTCTGGAGCGTTGTTGGGATGGGTTGTGGGTGGGTCAACGCGCGCCTGGCGCGCGCATCTCTGCGCGCCAGGCGCGCGCATTGAGAGGATGCGCTGCTTTGGAATCCATGATTTATCTCTTTGGCGACATTCCAGAATCATCGGCTTCTCTTATAGGCCTGTCTGTGGAGGTTGTTGAAACGTCTTAGTATAAGCACTGCCGGGCTGTCTAGGGTGGGGTGGAAGGACGTCGCGTGGCGTCGCGGAATTTGCAGAAGCTGCGGCGCGTGGTACAGCAACATCTGGTGCAGTCG